GCATATCTTAAGCTGAAAGAATTCAAGAAAAAATCCGAGCCTTGAGTTGCAATCTTGAAAGAGTTTACGGGCACAACGTTGAACACATTAGGTTGAACTATTTAGGCCATGTGCATTGCCTCTTTTTCTGTTCAAAGACTGTCTTTTGGTCTTTGTACTGGTCGCCCATGAGTACAGTTAAGTGACTTAGTTTAGATTGTTGTTTCTCAAACTGTAAGTTGTGATCATTTTTAGGTCATCATATCATTACTTTAGTTATTGATAACCGTGAATTAAATTGAATTTTACTCTCTGCCATTTTAATACCACTCCCATATGATTGATAAGAGAATTAAATCTAATAGATATTACAGACTCAAGTATGACCTTTTGCTTCAGATATATCTGTGTTTGTTTCAGAACTGACTCTGGATAAAAAGGAAAGGCCTTGTTGCAAATGCTGTCCTGCTCAATCCCATAACAGAGTTCAGGGTGCCAGAGTGACACCATTAAAGGTAGAATTGGGCAAGATACACAATGCATCGTGTGTTTCTACCGTATACGATAGATGTCAATAAGTTCAAGATGCACTGTAAAATGTAGTAATTAGGACATGATGACTTTTGACTATCACTTTTATATCTAATATAATTTTTAACTTAACTCCATTTTAAATTATATAATTTTTAATAATGGAAATCTTTAACAATCAACTCACAACAGTCTTGGAAAGTTACCAGTCAACTCTCAAGAACTGGCATGATCTGCTAAAACCTATCATTGGACTACACTGCCACGTTTGGTTTAGTCCATTGGTTTAGTCCATTCTATATGCTTTATATTCCTCATACTCAAAATGTATGAGGAAATGGCTAATGTAATAACCCGTTTTAAGACCTTTGACCCTTCTCTGGGCCACCTAGGCTTCTCTATTAAAGGAACAAAATTTGATTTCCATCCACTCCTGCTTTCCATAATCAAATTATTTTCCTCCTAAAAATTGGCAACTGTATCCATCTTTGTATTAATATGCCCAATGAATTGGATTTGGGCACTGAGGGGAAGAGAGAGGTTGAAAATGGTGTGATACTTAAAGTTTGGTATAATTGTGTTTTGTTCACTTTAGGACAGAGGAGCCATGGTGGCACAGAGGTTAAGCATTAAGCTGCTAATCAAAAAAAGGTCAGCGATTTGAAATCACCAGCTAATCCACGGGAGAAAGATTTAGCAGTCTGATTCCATAAAGATCATTGTCTTGGCAATTCTGTGTGGCAGTTCTATCTGCCCCTATTCGTTAGAATGCTATGGATGGTAAATTGAATCAGCAACACACCACCACAACATGGTAAACTTTAGCTCGCTATATAGTACAGTAGCAAAAAAGTACCCATCATAATATTCCAACCTGTTTTGACTACTATTTTTTGTTATATTTTGTGCAAAGCTACCAGAGGATGAAAAGAATAGTGACCATATACATTTGCTCGGTGTCACTTATTCCTCAAATATTAGTGAGCATTTCAATAATAAATCCGATATGAATTTCTTTGTAAATAAAATTCCATTTTCATTTCAGCTTTTAGAAAGCATCATATGCCCTTCCCTCAAGGCACCACTTAAATCTCATTTTTCTCTACAAATCCTTCCTAATGACTTTCGCTAATTTGTTTATTTTAATTCTTTTTCTACTTCCTATTGTGTTACTGTCTTTGTTGTGAAATTTGAACTTCATTGTTCTCTCATGTGTCACAAAGCTGAAAGTTTAAGTTCATAAGGCAGTCTTTTACTCCACTTCGTCTCCCATAAACGTCCATCGTATCAGAAACATAATTGCTTGCAGTGGTTTTTAAAATAGAAAGAAGTTTAAGGTTCTGTACATCAATTTATCCAGCAAGCTCCTCCCTAAGAGCAATAATAATAATATATTAGATAATGTTTGATGTTTACTAAATGTGAAGGATTGCTCTACGTATTTAACATGAGTTGTGTGTGTGTGTTTCTCTCTCGTTGTTGTCAGGTGCCTTCGGGTAGGTTCCAATACATAACAACTCTCTGTACAACAGCACAAAGCAGTGCTTGATCCTGCGCCATCCTCACAATGGTTCTCAAGGTTGAGCCCACTGTTGCAGCCACTATGTCAACACCTCTTGTTGAGGGACTTCCTTTTCTCTGCCTCTCTACTCTCTCTACTTTCCCAGCGATAATATCCTTCTCCAGGGACCCGTCTCTTCTGACAATGTGTTCAAAATATGTGAGATAAAATTGCTTCTAAGGAGCATGATGGCCATGCATCTTCCATGACAGATTCCTTGGTTCTTCTTGGCAGCCCAAGTTCATTTCAGTATTCTTTACCAACACCATACTTCGACTGCATCAATGGTTTGGGTTTTCCTTATTCAGTGTCTAGCTTTCATATGCATGTGTGGTGATTGAAAATACCCATAGTAACCTCCTTGCTTTTCCGCAACTTAAAAAAGGTCTTTTGTAGCAGATGTACCCAATGCTAAGTGTTTTTTGGTGTCTTGACTGCTGCTTCCATGAACATCGATTGTGAATCCAAGCCAAGTGAAACCCTTGTCAGATCCAGTCTTTCCCCAGTTATCATGATGTCCTGATCACTTTGGCTGAGGACTGGGACTCAGTTCAGAATGTTTGACTCTGAACATCTGCATCTTTCGCTCACACTCTACTCCTTCTTATGCACATATTGCTAAGGAGATGTAGCATTTTCCAAATGTCTGCTACTAAAAAGCATTAATGGATTTAAATAAGCTTACTATTACTTAAAAATTGAATTGACCATTTTGGAATTGGTCTAAGAATAACCAGATGGCCCTGGTGGTGTAGTGGTCACTTGTTGCTCTGCTACCACATGGTCAGAAGCTCGAAACCACCAGCAGCCCCACAGGAGAAAGACTGGGCTTATTAGTCCAGCAAACAGTGACAGTCTCAGAACCCCACAGGGGGTCGTTATGACTCAGCATTGGGGGGACGGGGGCAGGAGGAGAGAGAGAGAGAGAAAGGATGGGAATGGCAAATATGCTGTGTGAGTAGACTTGAAAATAAACTGAGTAATATAGAATTGGATTTGAGTTCTTTGGGATGTGAGAAATATGAGAGAGATGATAACTCGCTATAATTTTTAGTCTAAAGACAGGAAGTGTTTGCAAAATTATACCTGACATTTTGAAACAATAGTTCATGTCTTTGGCAAGGCTTGCTTGATCCAGAGGACTTGAGCAAGAACTGAAACAAGCTGGTTCATCCTCTCAAATGCTTCCCTTACTCGGGTCTAAGAAACGAAATTATTCCATCTTTAATCCTTCATTTCGGAGAAAAGTCAAATTCAAAGAAAAGGGCTTTCAGTGACATCGTTGAGTTAAATGATTTATATGAGGAACTCATTGCTAGAAACCAAGAGTTCTGTGAGACCTTTAATGGTTGTTTTTTTTTTATTAGAAATAAGTAGGAAAGTAAAACCAAGAACAACAAGAAAGGGCAAGGTCATAATTACAGAACACCACTAAAGCACTCCTTTCATCCTTTCTCAGAAAGATAGCCTAAGAAGAAGACACTAGAAGAGCATGCTGAAGTAATTTCTTCTTTCCAGAATACAGTTTATACTGTGAAGTTTTTTTCTCATGAAAAGTTAGAATTATTTCCAGCATCAGCTTTAACTGGGCCAATTGAAACTTTGTTGACATTCTAGCTAAGCAGAAAAACATCATCTAAGCCCATTTCTAGAGGGAAGGTATATTTTTATCACTTGCAGTGACCAGCCCTTCCTTATCTGTTTAACAGAATCAAAATCGGATATAATATCGACTTCAAGAGCAAGTAGTTAGAAGGTTGGTGGGGGTGAAGGTGGACAGTCTTCAGTTAGAAATTCTGTTTTTCTGATGATTAGTTGAGTAGCCTTTATTGCTTGGCATCCCAGACCCATGCCATCTCCAAGAGCATTGTATGCTCAGATTGTGGTGACCACTCTGTATTTTGAGGGCCATCCAATTTGGGGGACTCATTTTCCAGTGCTCATACGAAACAATATTCCTTCACGATCCATAGGATTTCAATGGCTAATATTTGGGAGTAGATAGCGTAGTCTTTGTTCCTCATCTTTCCTAGTCTGCAGGCTCTTCAGAAACCT